CTGGGGAGCAGCGTGTCCGGGTGCCGGGGGCAGGGGGCAGGAGGCCCTGCTGGGGAGCAGCGTGTCCGGGTGCCGGTGGCAGGGGGCAGGGGGCAGGGTGGCCCTGCTGGGGAGCAGCGTGTCCGGGTGCCGGTGGCAGGGGGCAGGGGGCAGGGTGGCCCTGCTGGGGAGCAGCGTGTCCGGGTGCCGGTGGCAGGGGGCAGGGGGCAGGGTGGCCCTGCTGGGGAGCAGCGTGTCCGGGTGCCGGTGGCAGGGGGCAGGGGGCAGGGTGGCCCTGCTGGGGAGCAGCGTGTCCGGGTGCCGGTGGCAGGGGGCAGGGGGCAGGGTGGCCCTGCTGGGGAGCAGCGTGTCCGGGTGCCGGTGGCAGGGGGCAGGGGGCAGGGTGGCCCTGCTGGGGAGCAGCGTGTCCGGGTGCCGGTGGCAGGGGGCAGGGGGCAGGGTGGCCCTGCTGGGGAGCAGCGTGTCCGGGTGCCGGTGGCAGGGGGCAGGGGGCAGGGTGGCCCTGCTGGGGAGCAGCGTGTCCGGGTGCCGGTGGCAGGGGGCAGGGGGCAGGGTGGCCCTGCTGGGGAGCAGCGTGTCCGGGTGCCGGTGGCAGGGGGCAGGGGGCAGGGTGGCCCTGCTGGGGAGCAGCGTGTCCGGGTGCCGGTGGCAGGGGGCAGGGGGCAGGGTGGCCCTGCTGGGGAGCAGCGTGTCCGGGTGCCGGTGGCAGGGGGCAGGGGGCAGGGTGGCCCTGCTGGGGAGCAGCGTGTCCGGGTGCCGGTGGCAGGGGGCAGGGGGCAGGGTGGCCCTGCTGGGGAGCAGCGTGTCCGGGTGCCGGTGGCAGGGGGCAGGGGGCAGGGTGGCCCTGCTGGGGAGCAGCGTGTCCGGGTGCCGGTGGCAGGGGGCAGGGGGCAGGGTGGCCCTGCTGGGGAGCAGCGTGTCCGGGTGCCGGTGGCAGGGGGCAGGGGGCAGGGTGGCCCTGCTGGGGAGCAGCGTGTCCGGGTGCCGGTGGCAGGGGGCAGGGGGCAGGGTGGCCCTGCTGGGGAGCAGCGTGTCCGGGTGCCGGTGGCAGGGGGCAGGGGGCAGGGTGGCCCTGCTGGGGAGCAGCGTGTCCGGGTGCCGGTGGCAGGGGGCAGGGGGCAGGGTGGCCCTGCTGGGGAGCAGCGTGTCCGGGTGCCGGTGGCAGGGGGCAGGGGGCAGGGTGGCCCTGCTGGGGAGCAGCGTGTCCGGGTGCCGGTGGCAGGGGGCAGGGGGCAGGGTGGCCCTGCTGGGGAGCAGCGTGTCCGGGTGCCGGTGGCAGGGGGCAGGGGGCAGGGTGGCCCTGCTGGGGAGCAGCGTGTCCGGGTGCCGGTGGCAGGGGGCAGGGGGCAGGGTGGCCCTGCTGGGGAGCAGCGTGTCCGGGTGCCGGTGGCAGGGGGCAGGGGGCAGGGTGGCCCTGCTGGGGAGCAGCGTGTCCGGGTGCCGGTGGCAGGGGGCAGGGGGCAGGGTGGCCCTGCTGGGGAGCAGCGTGTCCGGGTGCCGGTGGCAGGGGGCAGGGGGCAGGGTGGCCCTGCTGGGGAGCAGCGTGTCCGGGTGCCGGTGGCAGGGGGCAGGGGGCAGGGTGGCCCTGCTGGGGAGCAGCGTGTCCGGGTGCCGGTGGCAGGGGGCAGGGGGCAGGGTGGCCCTGCTGGGGAGCAGCGTGTCCGGGTGCCGGTGGCAGGGGGCAGGGGGCAGGGTGGCCCTGCTGGGGAGCAGCGTGTCCGGGTGCCGGTGGCAGGGGGCAGGGGGCAGGGTGGCCCTGCTGGGGAGCAGCGTGTCCGGGTGCCGGTGGCAGGGGGCAGGGGGCAGGGTGGCCCTGCTGGGGAGCAGCGTGTCCGGGTGCCGGTGGCAGGGGGCAGGGGGCAGGGTGGCCCTGCTGGGGAGCAGCGTGTCCGGGTGCCGGTGGCAGGGGGCAGGGGGCAGGGTGGCCCTGCTGGGGAGCAGCGTGTCCGGGTGCCGGTGGCAGGGGGCAGGGGGCAGGGTGGCCCTGCTGGGGAGCAGCGTGTCCGGGTGCCGGTGGCAGGGGGCAGGGGGCAGGGTGGCCCTGCTGGGGAGCAGCGTGTCCGGGTGCCGGTGGCAGGGGGCAGGGGGCAGGGTGGCCCTGCTGGGGAGCAGCGTGTCCGGGTGCCGGTGGCAGGGGGCAGGGGGCAGGGTGGCCCTGCTGGGGAGCAGCGTGCTCCCAAGGGACACACCTGGCTTTGCTCGTCCCCAGCACCAGGCTCTCTCTGCAGCCACTGCCCTGAGCATGCCCTGCCCCCCCCTCTCCCCCCCGTGCCCGCTGGGAGCAAAGAGCAAGAGACCTTCCTCTGGGCAACTGTGCGTATGCACTCGTGCCCGTCAGGGGTGTCTTCCCGACCTGAGGCCATGGCTGGCTTGTGCCCTAAAGCAAGCGGGTCTGTAACTTCCTGAAGCATTATCCTCGGTACTGCAGGGGAACACAAATGCCTCCCTGCTTCGGAAACCTCTTTGCTACCCTGTGGCAGTGAGTTCCGCAGGTCAACTCTGCTCTCTGCCTTTGCTCGACTCCACACTGTGTGGCAGGGCTACAAAGGGGGCTGGTTTGTTGGTTTCTTGGCAGAAAGAGTCGGCGGAAATCTCAGGGCAGAGCCTGATGTGCAGTTTCCTGCAGCTGCTGGATAAAAACGGGAAAGGGGGGCCACGCGGCTGGTTCGTGATCCCCCAGGACGATTCCCTGGTGCTGTACATGTACGCTGCACCCCAGGTAGGTGGGGCATGTGCCTGGGGACCCCGCAGTGGCCTGGCTGCCTTGGCTGGCGGGAAGGGGGAAAAGGCCGGGAGACGTCAAGGCTCACACCTCTATCCCCCTGCTGGGCTACCGGGTGCAGGAGCCGCCCCACAGTGACCCCCGTCACCTCTTCCAGCTGGTCCAGTCCAAGCAGATCTACACCTTTGTGGCCGAGACGGAGGAGCTGAAGCGGCGCTGGATGGAGGCCATGCGGCAGGCTGCCCGGGGCTCTGCTCTCCTCCCCCGCCAGGAGGAGGAGGAGGAGGAGGACTCCTTCGATGACCTGGAGTGACCGGGGCTGGGCCTGTGGGCGAGCCCAGGCAGTGTGATCTAGTGGTTACAGCAAGGCGCTGGGGACCCCAGAGACCTGGCGTCCTGTCCCCAGGCTGCCACTCGCTTGCGGCCGGGCACCTT